TGGCATATATTGCACATCCCTAGTTGCCCTTGAGAAGGTGATATTGAGCTGCCTTCTTGAACCGCTGCAGTCCATGTGCTGTGGCTAGACCCACAATGCCATTAGGGTGAGAATTCCTGGATTTTGACCAAGCAACAGTGAAGGAACGGCGATATATTTCCAAGTCAGGATGATGAGTGGCTTGGAGGGGAACTTGGAGGTGGTGGTGTTCCCATGTATCTGCTGCTGTTGTCCTTCTAGATGGAAGTGGTCGTGGGTTTGGAAGGTGCTGTCTGAGGATCTTTGGTGAATTTCTGCAATGCATCTTGTAGATGGCACACACTGCTGTTACTGAGCGTCGGTGGTGGAGGGAGTGGATGTTTGTGGATGTGGTGCCAATTAAGAGGGCTGCTTTGTCCTGGATGGTGTCAAACGTCTTGAGTGTTGTTGGGGCTGAACCCATCCAGGCAGGTGGGGAGTATCCCATCACACTCCTGACTTGTCCTCCTGACACCCATTGATTCCAGTTTTGTCAGGAATCCTTGATTCCACACTTGGTTAAATGTGATGTTGATTTCAAGGACTATCACTCTCACCTCGCCTCTGGAATTCAGCTTTTTTGTCCATGTTTGAACCAAGGCTGCAATGAGGTCAGGAGCTGAGTGGCCCTGGTGGAACCCAAACTGGGCGTCACTGAGCAGGTTATTGCTGAGCAGGTGCTGCTTGATAGCGCTGTTACTGACACCTTCCATCACTTTACTGATGATCGAGAATAGACTGATGGGGCGGTAATTGGCCGGGTTGGATTTGTCCTGCTTTTTGTGTACAGGACATACCGGGGCAATTTTTCACATTGTTGTAACTGTACCAGAACATCATGACTAGGGGAGAAATAAGGTCTGGAGGATAATGCTACAACCCTATAGCTGGAGTGTTATCAGGGGTGCGTAGCCTTTGCAGTATCCAGTGCCTCCAACTGATTCTTGATGTTATATGGAGTAAATCGAATTGTCTGAAATCTGGCAACTGTGCTGCTGCAGACCCAGTGATGGCTCAATGTACAGGTTCCTCAGCACAGGAGCCCAGAGCTTGTCTACTCTCTCCGCGTTACTTTTTTTAAATCTTTCTATGCTTTGTTTTTAATGTTTCCATTTGTTATGGTACCTTACCTTCTTTTAATGATTTCCATGGAAGGTATCTTCTCCCAACCCAGGCCCAGCAACAACATGGCTTCCAATAGCCCAGAATGTTGGTATAAGCTTGGCAGGATAGTCTCCCAGTGGGGTAATCTCCCAATATGCCGCTCTTGTCCCGGAGGGCCGGTCTCACCCAATCATTGAGGTCTTCAGTGCCTTCTGGGTATTCCAGCAGCAAGGAATGAAGATCTAGTCCCGGCCTGGAGCCTTGTCTCAGTGTGGTGGTAAAATCTCAGCCCAGCATGGTGGCTTCAACCCAATTTTCCAACATACCCTGAACCCAGGAGCTATAAATTGAACTGTAATGAACTTTTACCTTATTTTCCTTCTTATTTATGACTTCTGTCATTAACATAGGTGCCATGGTATGGCGACTTATAAAGCTTTTCACTGTTTTTTTATAAAAATACGTGACAATAAATAGTTATTCTATTCTACCTCTGGAGGAGGCCAAGATGGATCATCCACTCGGCACTTCTGGCTGAAGATTGCTGCAAAAGCTTCAGCCTTATCTTTTGCACTGATGTGCTGGGTTTTTCCATCATTGAGGATGGGGATATTTGTGGAGTCTCCTCCTCCCAGGAGATATTTATTTGTCCACCAAGTTCATGACTGATGTGGCAGGACTGCAGAGCTTAGATCTGATTTGTTGGTTGGGGGATCGCTTTGTTCTGTCTATCATTTGCTGCTTATGCTGTTTGAAATGGAAGTAGTCCTGTTTGGTAGCTTCACCAGGTTGACACTTCATGTTCAGATATACCTGGTGCTGCTCCTGGCCTGCCCTCCCGCACTCTCCATTGAACCTGGGTTGATCCCCTGGCTTGATGGTAATGGTTGAGTGGGGGATATGCTGGGCCATGAGGTTACAGATTGTGCTGGGGTATAATTCTGCTACTGTTGATGGCCCACAGCGCCTCATGGGTACCCTGTCTTGAGTTGCTAAATCTGTGCAAAGTCTGCCGCATTTAGCACGGTGATAGTGCCACAGAACATGATGGAGGGTATTCACAATGTGAAGAGTTGTCAGCCACATTTTTCCCTCACCACCTGCCACAGACCATGTGTAGCAGTTATATCCTTTAGGACCCGACCAGCTCGATCAGTAGTACTGCTGCTGAGCCACTGTTGGTGGTGGACATTGAAATCCCCCACCCAGAGTACATTTTGTGCCCTTGCCATCCTCAGTGCTTTCTCTAAGTGTTGTTTAACATGGAGGGGTACTGATTCATCAGCCGAGGGAGGACAAAGCAACCAGCAAGCGGTTTCCTTACCCTTGGGGTCCACGTCTATAGATCCCTCAAAGTTGCTACCCGAATTGATAGGGTCATAAAGAAGGCGTACGGTGTGTTGGCTTTCATTGGCAGGGGAATTGAGTTTAAGAGCCACGAGGTTATGCTGCAGCTCTATAAAACTCTGGTTAGACTACATTTGGAATACCGTGTTCAGTTCTGGTCGTATGGAGTATAGGATGTAGGAGCTTCAGAGAAGGTGCAGAGGAGATTTACCAGGATGCTGCCTGGACTGGAGGGCAGGTCGTATGAGGGAAGGTTGAGGGAGCTAGGCTTTTTTCATTGGAGTGAAGAAGGATGAGAGGTGACTTCAGAGAGGTGTGCAAGATGATGAGAGGCATAGATAGAGTGGATAGTCAGAGACTTTTTCCCAGGGCAGAAATGAGGGGGTATAATTTTAAGGTGATTGGAGGAAGATGCAGGGGAGGTATCAGAGGTAGGTTCTTCACACAGAGAGTGGGTGTGTGCGTGGAATGCGCTGCCGGCGGTGGTAGTGGAGTCAGGTACATTAGGGCCATTCAAGCGACTCTTGGATAGGCACATGGATGATAGTAAAATGAAGGGTATGCAGGGTAGTTTGATCTTAGATTAGGATAATAGGTTGGCAGAATATTGTGGGCCGATGGGCCTGTACTGTTTTATGTTTAAACTGAAGCCATTAGATTTTATGGGGTCTAGAGTCAATCTTGAGGACTCCCAGGGCAACTCCCTGCTGACTGTATCCCACCGTGCTACCACCTCTGCTGGGTCTGTCCTGCCAGTGGGACAGAACATATCCAGGGTTAATAGTATAGACTGAAAGGTAACAAAATGGAGAAACTGCAATCCAAGGTGGGAGACACTTGCCAGCTTTTGAGCTGTAAACTTGTTGGGAATTATTCCAGGTGTTGGCTGTAATTTGGCTTCAAACATTTTTATTTCTTGCTTTGAACACATTACCAATAAAAATACAACTGTGGTGCAGGTTTCAATAAGGTGACAAAACTCTCATTCCCACCAGCACACAAGGACATCATAATTAGAACATTCCCTTGAAATGTTAACCAGGATGATGTGTGTGTGTTGGAGGGGTGGGGGTGGTGGTGGAGGCGTCATTGACAAGGTGCAAGTTGCCCTCCCTAACTGCCCCTGAACTGAATGGCTTGCTCAGCCATTTCAGAGAGGAGTTAAGAGTCAGTCAACTTGCTGTGGGGCTGGAGTCACATGTAGACAAGGTCAGGTAAGTATAGAATATTTCCTTCCCCAAAATACATCAGTGAATCAGATGGGTTTTTAGCTTGTCTTCATAATGATGACAGTTGTATTAATTAAATTTTAATTTCAACCAGCTACCTTGTGGGATTTGAACCTGTGGCAGTAACCTGGGTTTTCAGATTGCTAGCCCAGTGGAGATGCCATTTCACCACTGCCTTTCCAACTTTCAAAACCGTAAAACATGGACGGGCCTCTCAAAGGTGACATTAGGAGACACGTCTTCCCACAAGGGGAAATCCAGAACTCTCTTTTCCCAAAAAAACCTGTGCGGGAGTTTGTCGTGGGGCGGTCTCACAAATATTTCAAACCTCCAAGTCCAACAGATATTTGTTGGGTAAGAGTGTTAATTGATTTTGGAACAGACAAACAGACGTAGTTCAGATACAGATCACCCATGATCTAATCAAATGGCAGAGTGGAGCAGAAAGGCCAAGTCTTGATTGGAATTATTATTTATTACAAAGGGAATGGAATACAGTCAGGGAGGGCATTCCTCAGTTAAACAGAATACGGTGAGGTGTCATTTAGAGAACTGTGTATATTATTATCTCCTGACTTAATGAAAGGGTGTAAATACATTGGAATTAATTCAGAAAAGGTTTATTATACTAGTTGGGAGGTGTGGCTGGATGGTAATGTCACTGGACCAGCAACCCAGAACTTCCGGCTCATGCTCTGAGGAGATGAGTTGAAATTCCACCATGGTAACTGGTGGAATTTAGGAATCTGCCAGACTTACCTTGGTCTGGCCTAAACGTGAATCCAGTCCCACAGCAAACGTAGGTGATCCTCCATTTACAAAAGTGAGGTGATGCATTTTGGAAGGTGAGTACAGGTAGAAACTATACAGTGAGTGGCAGAACCCTTAGGAGTACTGATATGCAGAGGGATCTGGGTGAGCAGGTCCATGGAACACTGAAGGTGGCGGTGCAGGTAGATAAGGTACAAAAAAGGCCTATGGCATGCTTGTCTTCATTGGACGGTGCATTAAGTATAAGGATAAGCAAGTTGTGCTGCATTACAGAACTTTAGTTAGGCCACACTTGGAGTATTCTGTACAGTTCTTGTCACCATACTACCAGTTCTGAAGAAGGTCACTTAATCAGAAACATTAACTCTGCTTTTACTCCACAGATGCTGCCAGACCTGCTGAGTTTCTCTAGCAATTTCGGTTTTTGTTTCAGATTTCCAGCATCTGTGGTTCTTTGCTTCTTTTTTCCCATTATCAACAAAATCAGATGACATGGATCGAAAAAAACAAATTGAATAACAAAAGCACAGCACTGAGACACCAGCTTTTATTTTCATTGAACACATTCATTTAAAGCGAGAATTCAACAACCGACTGCAGACACTGACATTTTCCCAAGGTACAAAACATCAACAGCATCCCAAAGATGGTGGCTTTTAAAAATGGAACGAGGACTTCCTTATAGTGCTGGCTACCGTCTCTCAGATTTGCAATTTTTCCCAGAGAGCTATAATCAAACACTTCATCAGAACTCAGATGGCAACATTCGGCATCCAGAAACAGTGCTGTTTACCCTCATCCTGGCTCTTTAACTCAAGCTTGAACATTTCTAAACCCGGTGATAGTAGGATACCAGAAGCACAATCAAACATTCAGGATATTCACGGGTCAAGACAGTTCTTCATTCATCCTGTACAAGAAGCAACAGGACAGTGCCCAAACTATGAGCAAAGGCTGGATATGCTGGAGGGCTCTTTCCAGCAAACAGAAAGCAGAGGGGTGATCTGATTGATAACCATATAATTCTGAAAGAGTCTGAGTACATAGGGAGTAAATAATTCCATTAGTGGGAAACACCAGAACTCAGGGCCATTAATTAAGACCCATCTTAACAAATCCAACAGGGAAGTCAGGAGAAACCTCTTTACTCAGTGGGGAGACCGGAACTCATTACCATGGTAAGTGGTGGATGGGAACAGCATCAATACATTTGAGAGAAAGGTGGACAAATGTGGAAAAACAGCAGAGAAGGATCTGCTCAGAGATACTAAAAACTGCAGATGCTGGAGTCAGAGATAACAGTGTGTGGAGCTGGAGGAACACAGCAGGCCAGGCAGCATCAGAAGAGCAGGAAAGCGGACGTTTCAGGTTGAGACCCTTTTTCAGAAACGGAGGAGGGGGAAGGGAGCTCAGAAATAGAGATAGGAGGGGTGGGCATGGGGATAGGCGAGTGCAGGTAGGGAGTGGTAGGGATTGGTCAGTGAGGTGGGAGTAGCGGATACAAGGGAGAGAAGATGGACAGGCTGTGTCAGGTCAAGGAGGCAGGGATGAGAGGGAGGCTTGGACATGGGAGGAGGCCCGGGGTGGGGTGATTTTGAAACTGGTAAAATCCACATTTAGGCCATCAGGCTGTAGGCTCCCCAAGGCGGAATATGAGGTGCTGCTCTGCCAGTTTGCAGGTGGAATCATTGTGACACTGGAGGCAGTCCAGGATCTGCTGATATGTTGTATAGGGCCTTGGTGAAACCACACCTGGAATATTGTGTGCAGTTTTGGTCTCCTTTTCTGAGGAAGGATGGTCTTGCTCTCGGAGTACAGCGAAGGTTTACCAGGCTGATTCCAGGGATGGCAGGTCTGAGATATGAGGAGAGATTGACTAGGTTAGGATTGTTTTCGCTAGAGTTCAGACGAATGAGGGGTGTCTCACTGATTTGCAAAATTCTAACAGGACTGGACAGGGTAGATGCAGGGAGGATGTTCCCGATGGTGGGTATGACCAGAACCAGGGGTCACAGTATGAGGATTCAGGGTAGACCATTTAGGATGGAGATGAGGAGGCATTTCTTCACCCAGAGTGGTGAGCCTGTGGAATTCATTACCACAGGAAATAGTTGATGCCAAAACATTGAATGTATTCAAGAGGCGACGAGATATAGCACTTGGAACGAATGGGATCAAAGGTTATGGGGAGAAAGCAGGGTTAGGCTAATGAGTTGGATGATCAGCCATGATCGTGATATATGGCACAGCAGGCTCGAAGGGCCGAATGGCCTCCTCCTGCTCCTATCTTCTCTGTTTCTATCTAGACGAGATGAAGAGGGCGTGTGAGAAAGTTGCTGTGGTGTAGAAATGCCAATGAGGCTAGACACAAGTATGGCAGGTAGAGCTTACTGCCTGCTTCATTACTGCTACCACAGCAAGATTATATCTTAATACGGCCATGAGGTGCTGGAACATGGGTAGGTCTGTCCTTCACTCTGGGAAAACAGGACAGAGGAAACAGAAAGCCACTAATCGATCTCTGGTTTTGCTGACAAAAAGGTTTTCATCTTTCATTCATCTATTGATCAATATTTGCCAAATAATCCTGAGTGCTCAAATAATCTCAAGAAGTGAGATCTCCTGACACAGCCTCTTTGTCCCAGGGACTGGAAAGAATCATATCTCTCCATCAAAACTCCCCTTGCAATCCCTGTCCCACACACTAATTAGCTGGGGTTTAATCTTTTTTATAAACCCTCCCAGGTGGTGATATTGTGTGAAATGTGAGGCACAGGCAGCAGGACTGGACAGACCAGGGTTTATTGCTGCATATCCTGATCGGAGCAATGACAACTTAGATTAATTGTGCAAAAAACTTCCACAGGCAACTGGAATTGCGATTGGGTTACTGATCCAACAGCACTCATAAACTGTCTCTCACTCCTGCTCATGTCACCACAGGGCAAATGGGCTGTGGGTCAGATCTGTTCAAACCTCAGCATCACTGCAGCATTCGAGTTTCTGACACACACCATGCTCCAAAGCAGGAAGAATAAATAAGGGCTGAGTGCATGTGTGCACGCAATGTCTTGGATGTAGTGGATTGTTTACAAGTCACAGCAGCAGAGGCATTTCTAAAAAGTGACCATGACTGATCTGAAAATTAAAATCAAGTTAACTGAACCAAAGAAATAACAGACCGAGTTACTGAGAGACGCCCTGTCCCCCCACTAATTCTCAATTAAATGAACGGCAGAAGCAGCAATGCTGTCTTTTGAGTCATTGTGTTTTATACATAAAAGGATACATAATAAAGGATACACTGCATTATCACTGCCCCAAACTGATGATTGGGCATTTACTGTGAACAGTGTGAACTGTAACCAAGAGAAAAACATAAAACATCAACTAGTCTCAAAAGCTTGCTCTACGAGTCACACGAGCAACATTATGTGATGAGCAGAGCCGAAGACCCACCATACAACCCTCTGATCTTCACTTCCCTTGGCCTCTCTTGCCTTCTGCTGAATCTTGCTTTGGCCGTGCAGAGCGGGCAAATTGCTGTAAAATCGTTAAGGACCAACGCCAGGGACAGTTGAAGTAACATTGATGACAACTAGTTTAAGAGATATGAACCAGGAAAAGAAGCAGACCCTCTGGCCTATTTAGCACTGCACCACTGAATATGATCCTGGCTGATGACAAGTTTCAACTCCACTTTCCTGGCTATTCCTCAATTACCAGAGATCAAGAATCAGTCTATCCCAGTCTGAACTATACTCAATGATGGAGGAACCCTTGGAGGTAGAGAATTCAAACCACACAACCCCCACCCCAAATAGAAGTATTTATCATCTCAGTCTTAAATGATCAGCCCCTTATTCGGAGACTGTGATCCTGTGTTCCAAATTCCGCAGTGTTTACCTGTTAATCCCCTTCAGAGCCCTGTTTCAACTCATTTTTCTAAAATCCAGAGAATACAGATTCAATTCACTCAGTCTCTCATCATAGGACAACACTCTCAACCCACAAACTAATGCAGCAAACCTTCCATTTACCAGCTCCATGGCAAGTCTGTCCCTCCTTAAATATGAAGACTAAAAACTGCAGACATTCCACATGTTGTCTGACCAAAGATCTGTACAACTGCAGGAAGACTTTATTCCAGTACTCCGAGAGCCTAGTACAGGACATTGGTAAGGCCACTTTTGGTGTAGAATATTATTAAATTGTAGAGGGTGCAGAAAAGATTTACCAGGATGTTAGTGGGACTGGAGGGTTTGAGTTATAAAGCGAGACTGGATAGGCTGTGACTTTTTTCACTGGAGTGTAGGATATTGAGGGGTAACCTGATAGCAGTTTGCAAAATCATGAGGGGGGATAGATAAGGTGAATAGCAAAGGTCTTTTCCCCAGGGTGGGGGAGTTTGAAATTACAGGGCATAAATTTAAGGTGAGAAGAAACGATTTAAAAGGGACCTGAGGGGAAACCTTTTCACACACACAGAGTGATTCACGTGTGTGGAATGAAGTGCCAGAGGGAAGTGGTAGATGCAGGTACAGTTACAACATTTAAAAGACATTTGGATATGAATAGGAAAGGATTAGAGGGATATGGGCCAAACATGGGCAAGTGGGACTAGTTTAGTTTGGGAATCCTGGTCAGCATGGGTGAGTCGGACTGAAGGAAATAAAAACCGAAAGAACTGCGGATGCTGTAAATCAGGAACAAAAACAAAGTTGCTGGAAAAGCTCATCAGGTCTGGCAGCATCTGTGAAGAAAAAAAATCAGACTTAATGTTTCGGCTCCAGTGACCCTTCCTGAGTTGAGGATCCAAAACATTAACTGATTTTTTTTCCTTAACAGATGCTGCCAGACCTGCTGAGCTTCCAGCAACTTCTGTTTTTGGACTGAAGTGTCTGTTTCTGTGCTGTATAGCTCTATAATGAAGCCCAAAGTGCTATTTGCTGTCTTAATCATCTGTTGTATCTGCTGGCCAACTTTATGTTCCTTATGTGAACTCTATATGTCTCTCTGAACATCAACTCCTATGAGTTTCACATGTTTAAAAATATTCTGCTCTACTGTTCTGACTGCCTTTAAAGGTAGATAGTATACACAAGTCTAAATCAGACACAAATATTAAAATACTAAGATACGGGAACTAAAGAAGCACAGATGTCTCACAGGGGCTGAAATATAGAGAAGGGAGAGGTTCTGGAGTGATCTGAAAACAGGGATGAAGAAAATCTTCATAAGCAGCAGCAATTTGGTCTAAAAAGATATTTGCTAAACATTTTATTCTGCTTAAAGTTTAGACTGGACAGGAATCAAGAACTAGTTATTCTTTAGAACGATTATTTTTGACCACAAGCTAAGTATCCTGAAAAATTTTGGTTCCAGCCTGTAGCCGGGTAGACATTCCAAAATATTAATCAGCAAATCAGCTGTTAAACTTTCATCCTGTCTTGAAAGCAGAGATGCAATTCAGCAGGTAACATAATCAGTTATAATGGAGATTGTCAGTAGTTATCATTTAACTGGGTTATAAAATCCTGCAGAAACAGGATTAACACTAACATAAAGGTTAGTATTGTATCAAACATGGAATCCAACTTTAAACAGAACAAGTGTAAAAAGAGATAGTGGTTGCAGAATTGGAGAGCTACATCCAGTTTGCAAGCGGGATCCCAAGCCTCCTGTTACATGTAATTTTAATACTCTGTCTCACTCCTAACATTGTTGCAATAAAGCTCAACACTAATAAGAGGAACAGGGCCTCACCTTTCAAAGAGGCACTTTACGGCCTTCTGGACTCATCAGTTTAAATTGCAATCTCTGTCCTCACTTACTCAGCCAGCAGTTACTGCCATTTACACCTCCTCTAGACCCATCTTTTAATATTTACTTGTTCCATTCCCAACCCATTTTGCCTTATGCTAACATCCCTGTATAAATTCATCGCTTTTGCCCTCCACCCCATCATTTCCTCTTCATACTCACAACCCTTTTCCAGAGTTTGCTAGAACCAATTCCATCTCTAACTTCTCTCTGTTCTGACCGAAGGTCCTTGACCTGAATTATTAACTGTGTTTCTCTGTACAATTGCTGCGACCTTCCAAGAACTGCCACTATGTTTGTTTTAATTTCAAAGTTCCAGCATCTATAAAGCTCTGATTAAGCAGAAGAAAAATATTTGCTCTACTTGGCAACATGATTAAACCATCAAATCTAGAGTAGTGAAATATTAACAGGAAGGAATTAAAAATATCTGAGTGAATTAAACACACAGACTCCCCATAATATGTTATCTGGCAAGACTGGAGAGTTGGCACTGTTCTCTTCAAGGCAGAGAAAGTTATGAGGAGTTTTAATAGATGTGTTCAAAAATATGGAAGGTTTAGATAAAGTAAATAAGAAAAAATCTGTTTCCAGTGGCAGGATTGGACAGTTACCGGGGACAGATTTAAGACAAGAGGGGACTCAGTACAACACAAAGTTCCACCATGTTGTGTTCACGTTATCACAGTTACATAGCTCTTCCTCAAGGTTTTTCCTTGCCTACTTGATGTTCTCGAACTACGATGCTGAAAA